ACTGTGACGTATCATAATCTATCTTTGTGCTGCACTGAAATGTCACTTAAGTTCTTACTCTTCTCTCAGGCTAAATTAACAGATTGCACAGTACCAATAGACTTTTCTATCAGAGTCAGTATATATTTTGTATCACAAATCAAGCTTTCAGAGCTCTATCGAAGGGATACATCTTTGTTTAGCTTTGTTTCATCCAACCGCTGAAGACACTTCAGCAGTGCGCTTCAACTTAATTTCAGCCCATCTCAGCTTCACCAAACTAGTGACTTCTTTTCCACCCTTTCCCCTGAGAGGTGAAGTCATGGAGCTGTGTATTTACAACCTCTCCTGTGACACTTTGTGATCGAAAATAGACTTGTAGAAAGTCAGCTTTTCTGACTGCTTCATTTCTCACTTGTCATTCTGCACATGTGTATTTGTCATGACAGATTGTATCTCTTCAGGGGGTTTTAATATTGTTTTTGTCCATTAGGGTGATTATAGTGGGTTGTGGTCTATCTGATGGCATAAAAAAAAAGTTACTAGTTTAAAATTGCTCTTGCTGCAGCAATTAGGACCTTTGCCATGGATTTCAGTGAAGTCAGAATCTTGTAGCATTTACATACAGCTCTTGTGGGAATATGGTGTAACACTTTAAAAAGTGCCATCTGTTTAGAAGTGGAGTGTGCTAATCAGATATAGCACAGATTTCTTTGGGCCCCTCTAAGTGCGTTTTGAAGTATGGACATATGAAGATTGTAGCAGAGGAAGATGTCTGGTTTTCATGTGGTTTTATGGGTGTCTTATACCTTTTGAATTGGTAGGACAGAAACAATAATGTAACTTCCCTTTGAGTACCAAGATAGGAACATTAGAAAGAAAAAACTATGCTAGATGAGATACAGTGAGAGTGCAACAGTGAGTCTGGGAGATCCTGGCTATGTAGTAGCTGGTAGTTAGTTCCAGTGGGATATAGGGATATAGGGAGACATGATAAGCAGAAATAGAAGGTATTTGGGTCTGGTAGGAAGCAGACCCACTGAGAATTGAGTACAAGGGAAAGAAGAGATAAGGATTCTAACGTGCAGACTTCTTGTTGCTAGCTGGATGGGAACAGCAGCAATGGAGCACTTTTCTTCATTCAGGTTCTGAAGACTAAGTGTCCTAGATTCTTGTTGCCCTGCAAGAGTGGTTGGCCTGCCAAAGGTATGTGATTGCTCCTTAGGGTTCTTCTGCATTATTGAATTAATCAGTTAATTCTCTCCTTGACATCCGCCTTCTATTTCTCCAAAGCATCCATTTCTAGGCTCCTTCTTGCTACTTTTGCTCCAGAATTTCTCAGCAGTTACCCCTGTCTATCTGGAAGCCTATAGTGACCGTAATTTTCTGTTTATTTTTTGAGCAAAAATCAATGCATTTCGGAAGCATACTGGGGGTTGTGAATATCTGTTTCCTTCCTTTACAGAATTGCTTCTATGTAAAATCTTAATTATGCAATTAGATCTACAGGTGGTAAAATGAATCCACTCAACTGGTTTTGTCAAGAGTCTTCTCATGATTTAAAAACAAAAAAAGTCTCACGTTCCAGTCAATTAAAATTAGCTAGTAAATTTAAAAGGCTTTAGAAAATTGAGGAGGATTCTACTTTTCATCACCACACTTAGAAATAAGATGCTAAGATGAAAAAGTTCAAATGATTGAAAGCTATGGCGATCAGAAGGAAGCAGTTCAGCTCAGTAACTGTGAACAATATTTTCAGATTTTTATTCTGTTGTTTTGTGTAAAAGAGAAAACCACTTTTTAAATGCTACTTTTCTTAATTACAAGGCCTGCTTTGAAAGTAGTGCCTCCTGTTTATTTCCATGAGAGCTACAAGAGGTACAAAGAGCACAATTTAATAGAGCAAATTCTCAGCTACAAAACACCATTTTTAACATAGTCACCACCAGCAGTGAACAAGAGCCTGCATGCCGCACTCATAAAAATCTGCCTGTGTGGAGATGGTCCACTTTTTTTCACAGCTAGTACAACAGCATCATTGCTAGGAAGTTGAACAGATGGGAGTAAGAAGGCACCAACTCTGGACTATACAGTGGGTGAGATAAGATAATCCAGCCAAGATTTGCAATATGCTCTATGGGATTCAAGCTGGCACAAGGCCTGGTGTTATCATCTTTGCAAGAGAAAGGTTGTGTTCTCCTCTGGCCTGATGCTGGAAGTTTGAGCCTTTAGCTTAATCAGTGTCGTGATGTGGTGGTCAGAGTTGGTGGTTTGTCCAAGTTCCAGGGAAATCCAGAAAAGATCATCCATTTCCTATCCCAAAAAGCACCACACATCACTTCATCTGCTTATTCTTCAATGGTTAACTCGTACACTGTCACACTGTGGACTGCTGATTTGACTCTGGTGACATCATGTCTCACCACTGGTAATGATTGGATCCAGAAAACGGTTACCTTCAGCTTTGTTTTGGTTCAGTAGATCCTGCCAAACATTGTGTGCATTTGCACACATGCACACACACCTGGAAAAAAATTTGCAACATTCCAACACTGCCACCATCATTTCCAGTGCACTGAACCCAAATTCAGCTCCCTGGTCATTATCCATTGATTTGTGTGGATGAGCTGGTCAAGAATCTCTTCATTTTGTGGTGTGACAGCTATCCGTGGCCATTTGGAATGTGGCTTTTCTTTCATGTCACTGTTACTGCTGAAACACACCACCTGCCACCTCACTGTGCTCACATCCGTTGTTTGATCTCCATACACTTGCTTCAGCAATCACTGATGCCTGTCAGTGAGTGCAGTTTTTTCAGTTCCACAACTTGGCTTCATAGGCACTTCCATATCAAACATCATTCTGTCAGACTTCCCCTCTGCAGCCATCTATCTCATGGCAACATGTACTGCGATGTTGTTGGTAAGGTTCAGCCTCTACTGCTGTACCACCACTTCTCTGATAGTTTGTGATTGAAAATAGGCTTGTAGAAAGTTAACGTTTCTAACTTTCGGAATACTTTCTTTACCTCTTTAGTTGATTCCAATTGTCCTGCAAGGCTTAAAGCTGCTTGAGCATCTTTAATGGTTTGAAACGTCACAAATAGCACCTAATGATCTCACATACCAGGAATGGTTATCACTCTGGTGAATTAATGCTTCAATTTCAAAAATCTTCAGATTTTTTTTAGTATTTTTCCCCAAACTGCATCTTATATGGATTAAATAATAGGCGTTTCATATTTGAAACCTTAACCATAGCCCAAGAGCCCCTACTATGTCTTCAAAATATAATTGTCATGGCAAAGGCTCTATTGTAACACAACCTTGCAGACAATTCACCTAGGGAAGTGATTTTGAAGTATTTGTTGCATGAAAATTGATATTCTGTTCTTTGGAGCCTGGTGCAAACTTTGGGAGAAGGAAGTGGTAAATCTCGGGAATTTCCTAAAGGAAGACTGTGGGTAAGAAGGCAAATTTTGCTGCTGTTATGCACAGGAGTTCTAGGAATCCCTTTTAGAAATGCTGTATACTGGATTTGCTAGGAAATGGATTGTGTGATTGTCTCTACACAATGAAATGTGTATCTTTGGCAGTGGAGGACTTCAAATTTTGATTTCTGACTCCTTTCTACACCAAAGATGTGCCAACATTTTCTGCTTCTTATTATTATTTTTAATCCCCTCTATGCTGTCTGTCTAATTTCTTGTCCAGTGTCACAAGAAAGCTGATCTGAAAAGTTTCTATACCTCACAATTCTCACCACTCAGTTTAAGTGTTGTGGTATGCCCTATTACAGCCTGAAGCTTATGAATAAATGTTAAAATCCGTTTCATAAAGATTGGCTAAATTTGCAGTGCAGGGGGTGGAATACCAATGGCTATTTCAGAAGTACCGATGGTTATTTATTCATTTATTTATTTATTGCTTTAGATAAGAATGAAAAATAAATGAATGACATGAATGACCAAAATATTTAGTACATCATTACATGAAACAAGTAACAAATGCTTATTGCTGTAACTTCAGCTGAAGACAGGATACAATTAATGTAATTTACATGAATTAAGCACATTTGCTTAAGGAGTGGATAAAAAATGATAAGCTCTAATGTGTTCATTACTGTTTCAAATATAATGACTTTTACTTTTGAAAGTTTTTCCAGGCATTTTTTCTGTGCATGTATGAGGGACTTCCATAGCCTTCCATGGAAGTGTTTCTGTTTTACAGGGGTGCATATTGTTGTTGCTATCTAGTTCGTTACCAGTTTGCCAGTTTTAGTATGAAATAACAAATTCCTGAATGGTCTGCTTCCGAGTCCGTAGCCTACTGAGGAGGATAGTTGTCCAGAATTATTGTGAAATTATTGTGAATTATTGTGAAATTGTATATTTTAAAAGTCAATAGTTTTTGTTTGTTTGTTTGTTTTCCCCTCATTATTTTTATTGCTTTGTCTTTCAATCACTTAATAACGGTTAACTTTTATGCATGGACTTCAACGATAATAGAGAAGTTACATCCAGAACAGTTCTATTTAATTATTTGTTTTTGTCTGGTAGGAAATGCAGATGTGTAGATATGGAAATCAAACAAAGCTAAATAAATGTTTTCATGTATTTTTTATAGGAGAAATAGGGAAAAATTTGTATCCTGCTTGCGACGACAAATAATAAATCAATTGCAGTACATGTAGTGCAAAATAACCTGTTTGCCTTATGTTCCTTAATATTAATAAAACAGAAAATAATGTACATTTTTCCTCCAAAAAGATCAAATCAGCTCAGAAGTCATTTAGTTGGAAGCTTTATCAACATTGTTTATTGTACAATAGAATTAAAAGGATGTATGGAACAAGCAATACAGTTAACTGGTTTCTCCTAAATAGTGGATAGATTTTGGGATGGCAGTATTTCTCAACACAGTTCTTAAGATTTTGCTATTCTATTCCTTTATAAATCCTTTCAATTTGAAGGTTCCCCTAACTTAGCAGCATTTTTGTTCCTTATGATCCTTTCAATTCAGGATGCAGAATAGAAAACTGTGACTCCTGCTTCAGCAGAGACTTTTGCACCAAATGCAAAGCTGGTTTCTACTCCCACAGAGGCCGCTGTTTCAGAAGTTGCCCACCTGGATTTGCTGCCTTGGAAGAACTCATGGAATGTGTGGGTGAGTCTTCCAGCCCAGTAGTGCTGCTGAAGCCACTTTTTTTTTTTTTTTTTTGCCAGGTGGCCAGGTTTGATTGCTGATGACACTGCTTTTAAGCTAATACTTAGTAATTCCTCTACAGTGAGTGCCTGAAAGGAGGTTGTAGTGGAGTGGGAGTTGGCCTCTCCTCCCAGGTAGCAGTGAAAGGACAAGAGGTAATGGCTTTCAGTAGCACCATGGCAGGTTTGGGTTCGGTTTAGGAAAAATTTATTCTTGGAAGGAGTGGTGAAGTATTGGGGAAGGCTGCCTAGGGAGGTGGGGGTGTCACTGACCCTGGAGATGCTTAAGAAAAGGGTAGATGTGTCACAGAGTGACGTGGTCTAGTGGTATGGTGGTGATGGGTCAGTGGTTGGACTAAATGATCTTAATGGGCTTTCCAACCTTAATGATGCTATGATTCCTATCAAGAAATATTCACTAAAAGATTGTGTCTGGATATCTTTCTCCACAGTAATATATATATATATATTTCTTCCAAACTTTGAAAGAATACACTGTTGGGAATGCTGTTGAGCATCTGAAAGGTCTGTCCTGTACATCATCACGTATGTACATGTGTAACTCAGAATTTGTAAGATTTCAGGAAGGCCTCTTTTTGATGAGAACTTGAGTGCCCCTTGAGTTTTCACCTCCATAAGCTACCTGCTCCTTTTTTGTTTCACAGAGTCCAGAACCCAGGGACAGGCCAAGTAGGATCATATGCCCTGTTCATGAAGCTCAGCAGTAGCCATAAAACCATGACAGGCATCAGAGTCACTTTTAGTTTCTCTACAGCTCTCCCCTGTTCTATTTTGCAAGTAACAGGGAAGCAAAGGAGTTGGATATAGCAGCCCATATGGATTGCTGATTGTATCACATGTATTGTACTGGGCATTCATTCTATAACCAACACTTTTCTGCTGGTGGAGGGGAAAATTAAAAAACAACAACAACAACAAAAATGTTCAAGTCCTTTAAGCAGTGTGTATAGGTGGTCACATCCACATGCAGGACAAATGAGAAAGATGAGAAAGAGGAGAGTGAGCAGTAGAAACTCAAGTTGGTCTTCTATATTTTGACTCTCTTGATTCAGACAGGGTAGATAATTCTTTGCAAGCTCTATAAACTCTGTAGCACTGAGTTTTTTTTGTTCAGACTTTAGTTTTTTCGAATGTAAAACTGAAAATGTGTTTTTTTAGTATAGATTTACTTTGCAACTCTGAGCTGTTTCTGGCAACTTTGTTAGCCTCATAGCTTGGTGTTTTACTTGAGGTGTGGGAGCTATCAGAACAGACTCCTCATTTCAGGAAAAGTCCTTTTGTTTCATGATGAAGAGGACCTAGGAATGTGAACTCCTGAGATGTACGCATCCAGGTTACAAATGAGTAGGATTTATCAAAGAGAGGAAAATGAAATCAATTTCAGGATTTTAGGAGGGCTTTGCGACTGACATGATGTTCATACAGGCAGGTTAATAGTGTAACTCTTTTATGCTTGGGGTGGGTGTAGACTGAAAAGATTCTTTCAGATTCTGTGAGATATTTTGTTTCTATTTTTTGCCAGTAAATAGTAAATCTTTTAAATAGTACGTTCTAATTTAAGTGGTCCTTGCTAATTAAAACATCTTAAAAAGAGAAGGAGAGAACCAGAAGAATATCTAATAGGTTTTCTTTTGCTTTATCAGAAGGCTGTGAAGTTGGTCAGTGGAGTGAATGGGGAACTTGCAGCAGAAATAATAAAACATGTGGATTTAAGTGGGGCCTGGAAACGAGAACAAGGCAAATAGTGAAGAAGCCAGCGAAAGATACAATACCATGCCCAACCATCGCGGAGTCCAGACGGTGTAAAATGGCCGTGAGGCACTGTCCAGGAGGTAAGCCTAGAGCATGCCACAAAAATCTTTATAAGCATTCCTTAAGAGAAATCCTAGTTCTAACTTGAAAACAGAGCCATTTCTTCTCAGCTAAAGCAGAAATCCCGTCTCTGCTCTGCCAGACGAGGCTGATAGGCGGTAGTGCTGCTGTGGACCTCATTTCTGCAGCAGGACTTGAGGGAGAGGCTCAGCATGGCAATGATTAGTCTCTCAGTGGACTGTGAAACTGCTTTCCTGGTGTGGTTTTTCAAAGAGGTAACTCATCAAAGGACTGGAACGTGTTATAGCTCGAGCTGCACCATAAGAACTGTTGGGACTGTGGAATATCTAGTTGTGTTGCACACTGCAGGAAAGGTCATGAGTCTAAATGTTTCTGCAGGTGACACACAGTGCTGGTGTTATGGGCATTTAAATTAAGAAACTTACACGTGGCATTGTTAGCTGGAGCTATTAGCTAAAATGTTACTTGCTCTGAATATCTTGTTTTGGTCAGGGCCGAACCATGCATTTCATTTCCACAACAAAAGGAGTAACAGTCAATTACAAACTGGATCTGGTAAAAATATCACAAAACAGAGTGAACAAAAGATGACTGATGTGATATGTAAGCAACAGTGTCGCACACTGCACTCTGAGGCTGACCAATGTTTCATACAGATCTCTGTGATTAGCAGAAGTCTCTGGAAGCACTCTGAGCTTATTGCAAGTAATTTTAAACATAACCCGAATAAGAGATTGTGTGGAGTTCTTAAGCTGCATCACAATGATCTATGGTATAAGTGATTAAGGCCCATATCATCATCATTTGAATTATTTACATTTTTTAAGACTTTGTTCTTACATTCTGAGTTTATTGGTTAGTTTTCTAATACATGTAAAATAAGACAGTAGTCTACATATTAAAAAAGGGGGAAAAAAGTTATTCTGTCCAGCAGAATAACTGGATTTGGTATCAGTTTTGTCAGTGCAGAAGAGAAGTGATATATCTTGAGATGAGATGAAAAAACCTACAAGATGCACAACTTTGGAGAAAGGAAGAAAAAAAACATAAAAATCGATGCTGATTGCTCTGTCAAATTTTATTATCTGCAAATTTATTTCACAGACTGAAGATTTACCTTATTTTTATTGGATTTCAAGATAGAGGTAGGTTTTCTTTAGTCAGGAAATCTACTGTCTGGTCAGCATCAAGATCTGTGTTCTTTTTCTCAATACATATCAGAAGAGTTGTAGTACAAAAGTACAAATTCAGAGTGAAAGGCTGGTTTCCCACAGGTCCTAAAGATTCTAGTCCTTTCCTGTCCTCCCACCGTGTGGAATTCCCTGATAGCATTTTTAGAGATAAAAAATAGATATGTACAAAACTGCAGGTGTGCATTCTCCATGCTGAGTGCTGGTGATTGCTACTGTACCAAATGTTTCCTGCTTTGTAGTATGTTTCAATTATGATTTTCTACACAGTTGGTCTACAATCTTGTTTATCGCATTTCATTTAGTTAGCAGGCCGCCCTTTTAGTCATTCTAGAATGCTTAGCTGCTTTCTCAATCGTGGTGAAGTATCAGGAAGCAGTGATGCTGGTTTTGGGGAAACTCAAGCGGATTTTAGATTGCTTCTGTTAAAGAAGAGATTCTGGGACTTGAAAAAAATGCAACGTTTTAGAAATTTTCAAATTTTTAACTGAGGAAATCAGAAAAAATGCAGTTAGTGGCACTCAATGAGCAAAGAGCCGTAATCCCTGGAAATATCTGTTGAGAAGCTACGTTAAATCCTTTCATCCGAACCTTCTCAGTATATAGAATCACATAGATTGTAATGGATTAAATTGAGCACAGGAAGTAAGGATGTTTTTGGTTGAACAGGGTCAAATGAAGTGCTTTTGGCATGTTTTCTATTTACGTACATTTTACTGTTACTATTTATGATACATAATACAGAAAAACTTCTGAAACAGATTTTTCGTTTGCAAAAGAAATGGAGTTAAATTCAGTTTTCCTACTAAATACTTCAGTTTCATATTTATCAGGGATTAAGATGTTACCCATCTGGCCATATGGCTGTAGTACAAATCTTGTTGATGAAGAATTCTTTATCGCTTTCCTATTCTGTGCAGAGTTATAGAGATGCAAGCTGGAATGCAAGTGAAAGATGATTTCACTTCTTTCCTACTGAAGCCAGCAACATGTAAGAAGATACTCTCCTTGATTTCAAAGTAGATTCATTACTTTGCAGTATTTTCTTATTGTCAGTACTAACTGATTTAACTGTTATTACCAGATGGGATTGTCACATTTGTATATCTGTTCACATTATGTATGCTGCCCTGTGGCTTGGGTGTGACGTGACTCATACAGCAAGAGGTTACACTTAGAAAAAGATGGCTTGGATCATTCGCCTTCTAACATGTTGGTCTCTCTCTGATCAGTCCTTAGCTCAAAAAGAAAGAAAAATAGATTATATTTTTAAAGAACAATTCAGTTACAGGGAATGGGGAAATTACCAAGCAGAAGTATGGGCAGATACACATTGCTGTCTTAAAGGTTTTTCATGCTTACTACAAGTATTCACTTTTTACCTCTCCTTTTTGCATGTTTCCCAAGTTCACATAAATAAATTACTTATTTTGCCTTCTTTTGTTTGTACCCCTCAAGTACTTGCAATACTCGTGCTTTGTGTTAAGTATTACAAAGCTAAACAGCTTTCTACTTTTAGTCTTCCATGACACTGCAGATCCTCACGCTGTCTTGATACACAAATACTACTCTACACAAAGCTGTTATTTCCAATAAGAATCACTGTGCCAATCAAGAATGCTTATTTTGGACATGAGGATGAGATGTGTCTGCTTTAATTTCCTAATGCTGAAAGGGAGAACATCACGAGGTGGGAGGGAGTTCTTTCCTCAACACAGACATATAACTTAATGTACTTTACGCTGTTTGATTCAGTTTTGAAAGCTTGTATCTTCCTATTGCTGCAAAAGAATACAAGACTTCTGGTGGAGCAACAGTAAAAACACCCAATCAGGATGTTTCCTTTTTTAAAACAACATATTTCCTCCGAGAGTGAATGTGTTAAAGATGATGGTTTAAATTGACAACATGCACTACGAAGGATCAAAAATGTCCTTGTCATCCTCTCCTCCCCTGCCAAGCTTGATGCTAGCTACATACATTCAATTTCTTTTGAAATCAGTCAGAGGAAATTTGGATTTCTCTTTGACTATAAAGAAAGTTTTATTTAGAAGAGGCTAATAAGATTTTTTTTACTTGCACACCCAACTTAGTCATAGAATCATTGAATAATACTGGTTGGAAAGAACCTAGAGAGGTCACATATTCCAACCTACTGCTCAAGGAGACGATCACTTCCGTGCTGTCCTGTTAGTACAGTCAGTATATTGTTTGCTTTCTTTGCTGCCAGGGCATGTAGCTGGCTCACATTTAACTCAGTTTTAAGCAGGACACCTCAGGGCCTTCCCTTCAGCCAGTCAGTGCCTATCCTGTAGTTTTTTGCAAGAACTGCTTCTTTCCCATGTGCAGTACCCTCCACTTGTCTCTGTTGAATTTCATGAGGTTCCCTTCAGCTACAAAGAATCTCTCTTTTCTAAAAGGCAATTACAAAAGAGCTCGAAATAAATGCAGCACCAGAGTGAGTGATCTCTGTAACCAGAGAGATTATTATGTTTGAGCTTTTTGACTGCATCTACCTTAAAGTGTGCGATCTTGAAAAGTTTATAAGCCAGGATGCACTTTTCTATATTGCATGTGTCTCAGTTCACAGTACCTACAAATACCATCTGTCTTTTGAGAGCCAATACTAGGGGTTTCTAGACTGGACTCAATACACATCAATACCACAGTTTGTTTCTTTTTTTGGTGATGTTATATTGGTGCAAGAGCAATTTGCCTGAGTGGCAAAGACAGTTCTTGCTGTTCCTGGACCTGTCCTCTTCTTGAGGACGGTCAAATACTGAGGTAGATATGTCCAGTAGACTGTGCAGTCACTATCTTTTTGAAGTTTCCAAGGCCTGACTGGACAATGCCCTGAACAGTGTGGTCTGAATGGCCTTGACCCTACTGAGAGCAGGAAGTTGGACAGGAGACCAACCAATCTGTGGCTGTGAAACTGAAAGAACATTGTTCTTCCTGACTAGATTTCAGAATTTCTGATCTCTGCCACTGCCAGTTAGAGAGAAGCTAGAATGAATGCCCAAAGGGAAAAAGAACAAACCAAGTCTTTCCCATGTTTCCTATACTACTGAGATCTCCTCTTTTGTATCATTTAATTTTAACTAACATCTAAATTGTGTCTAATGTTTTAAGTGTAATTCTGATTCACGCATTTGAATCTAGCTTTCATCCAAATTAAAGCTTAGTTGAAAGTTCTGATTATTACTTTACCTAATTATTGTTTGATCTGTTAACTTGTCTGTCTGTGGCTAAATGCCTCACAATCTAAAAGAGATGCACCATGATGTATACTTAATTTAATGTACTATGGCAGTATAAGAAAGCACTTTAAAACTAGCAGTTTTACTGTAGAGATGCAGATATAGTACTCCATGTTAGTTTAAGAGCTTTGATATATCTTTTAAGGGCTGTGTTAATTTTCAAGAAACTTGAAAGCTTTATAATGCATGTAAGAATTTGTATTGGAGTGTTTCTACACCTGACGCCTCATAGATTTGCAGATAAAAGTTGGATGGTGTACCTCTATGCCAACAGTGCATTACAAACTGAAGTACAGCAAGAAACAAACAAAAAACCCCAACTCCTGTGCAGATATGTTTTATTTGTCTTTTTCCCTCCTGCTGTTGGGATGGGAAAATTAGTGATTGGTTATTGGAGGAGTGCACTCCTCCATGCTTTCATTTCAAAGCAGTAAAGAAAACTGAGGTATAATAATGCTGAAAGGTAAGTAGATACCTTTTAATATATGCTAATGAATAACAAATCTATTAACTCCTGAAAAAAGCAGTATGATATATTGATGTTTTTGC